GAGTTGGAACTCGTTTCAGTACAAATCGTAACTAGAACAACGTGTATGTCGTTTATTCTCATTTGAAACGACTCCAATGTCGTTATAGTTACAAATCTAAGAAATAAAGTAACGACATTCATATCATTTCCGTACAAATTTGAAGATTTTGAAATCGTTTCAGTTCAAATAATAACTAGAACGACATTGGTATCGTTGCTTTTTCCATAAAACGATAATTATATCGTTATGCCCAAAAAACGAGAATTCGAGCATCCATGGTCACCGACATACATTCTTCGTACGTAGGACAACAAAAATAGGTAATCGAGCGAGTTGAATCTCACTCAAAAGAAAGTAGGGGAACATTTGTGTTTCTATAGTTCTCTTATCACCTTCGAATTATGTTGATAGAAAGAAAGTCATATCCGTTCGCTCTTTCTGAGCGATGTTAGTGCTTTAGCCCACTCGATGCTCTCTTTTGGTCATCATACGTACGTCGAAGGCATGTCGAATAATCGTGGATGGTCGAATCGTCATTTTTAGGCATATCGATATTAATATCGTTTTGTGTAAAAAGAAACGACTCAAATGTCGTTATAGTTACGATTTTGACTGAAACGAGTTCCAACTCGACCAATTCGTAAAGAAACGACATGTATGTTGTTACGTTAGTTTGGGGAGCTGATACATAACAACATCTGTATCGTTTCAGTACAAATATAACGATATTGACATCGTTTCGGTTGAAATCAGTACTATAATGACATCCAAGTCGATTTAGCTTACATAAAACCATATGCATATTGTTACGCCTAAAAACGACGATTCGACCATCCACGATCATTAGACATGCCTTCGACGTACGTATGATGACCAAAAGAGAGCATCGAGTGGGCTAATAGCACTAACATCGCTCAGAAAGAGCGAACAGATATGACTTTCTTTCTATCAACATAATTCGAAAGTTATAAGAGAACTATAGAAACACAAATGTTCCCCTACTTTCTTTTGAGTGAGATTCAACTCGCTCGATTACCTATGTTTGTTGTCCTACATACGAAGAATGTATGTCGGTGGCCATGGATGCTCGAATTCTCGTTTTTTAGGCATAACGATATAATT